GTATTTGTAACTAACTACTGAAGAAAAATGTATATTCTTCAAAAAGGTTATTGCAAAATTGCCCAAAAAAACAAATTCATCAATGAACTTAAAGATAAAAATCAGACTCAAAATAACAAAACAAACAAGACTCAAGCAATACTAATGTAAAACCAAAAGATTAACAAAAAGAAAAAGAAATCTTACAAAAACATAATACAACAAATGATTTTGATTAGTTTTTAAACTATTTTATTACTTTTAAAATACAGAAAAATAGTAAACTAAGTATATTATTAGCATTACAAGTCTTCTCACTCTCAAAATTACATCTCATAAACTTTAACTTAGATCAAATTATTCTTATTAAACTAACAAACACAAAACCTAACAATAGACCATCTACTAAATACTTATTCAATTATATACTTAACAAAATGGCTAATAACAAACCAAAATTTCTGACTGATTTTATTCTTAAAGCTAATCCTGAATTTGATTAATCAAAGCCTATTCCTTTCAAAATCTTAGTTGAAACCCTTAAAGATTTAATTGCTAAATTTACAACAGTACTATTTACCTAATTAGACTATTTACATATCTTCTAATCACATTACTCTATTCCATTATATTCAGCTAACAATAGAAAAAAAGTTGCTATTAATATAGCATGTCTTCACTTATATTTGAATCATATTTATAAAACTATTAATTTTGTAAATTTTATGAAAAAATTTAACATTAAGCCTTTACACTTTATTTTAAATTTTGATATTGACTATAATACAAATGAGCTACTTTTTGATATACAAAATGACAACAGATTTAATATCAAAGTTAAGCTAAACATCTCTGGCAAAAAATTTGAAGATGATTTCAAAATCCTCTCACTTAAACTTTACACTAAAACATATGAAACATGGTTCTTAAAATATTTTGAAAAATACAAAATTCAATTTAAAAAAATTGATCAACAAAAAACAAGCAATTACATTAAAATATTAATATCTCAAAAACTTGTTGAAGATTGCAAAGAACTTTTATCAGAAACTTATTCACTTTCTAACCTATTACTTACAATTTAAGATTGCTCTAAAGCTACTTTCAAAGCAGCACTTCATTATTTTTATAAATATTATAGCAAATTATGTAACCTATTACCTAACAACACAGAACATTCTCTTGAAAATATCTTTAATTTTTACTTTTCATAATTATTTAAATCTTACTAATTCAAAAGAATAGAAATACCCTTCATTAGATTATAAATTATTTCAACCAAATCAAAAACTAGCAACAACCTTTTCAAAACTAATACCTATAACTGAATTAAGAAAATTAGCTATATCAACTGAAGAAAGCTTTACATCTCTTACAATGTTAATAGTAAAGTGGCCTGAGTTACTTATTATTTCTATCAATATTTGAAAAAATACTTAAATATAGCAGCTAAAAATGATGAAATTTAAGAGCTATCTAAAGAAAAAGCTCTTGAAAAAATTATAATCTCCACTTCTGATATACACACATTAGCTCGAATAATTACCTTTTATGAAATTCACTCTCAATTTAAAGTATCTCTTAAACAAACAAGAATTAACTATGACAAATTTTAGTATTCAGAAGCAGAAAATCATTTAATCAAATATCTTAATATTTCTATTCCTACTTAATACAATGATATGCTTTTTATACAACCTAAAAATAAAACTGAAACTGAAAATAAAGAAGAAAATTCAACCTTTACTATTCAAGATAACAGCTCTGACAATTCTATCTCTTAAAAAAAAACACTCAACAACTCCACCCAATATCAAAAAATTCCTTTTCAATAAGTTTTTCTACAGATAACATTAAAGCAACTGTCATTTTTAAGATTATAATGTTCTTTACTACTAGTAGGCCATTCTTAGAGGAGAATAATGACAGTAGGTAGGCAGTAAAGCCTATTGTAATGAAGGACTAGAAATATGTCGACCATACTCAACATACTAGACAGGTTATAGTATTCTTTACAGCTGTGCAAGCTGAGCTTAAAATAGTAAGTGACTCTGTAGAAGACAATACAAATACTATTTCTATTTTTAATGCTTTATTTCTTACTGAGATAGATAAATGTTATATCAAATTCTTAAAACAACACAACCTACCTCAAATCATTAAACCTGTTATACTCAAAAAATTTATCCAATATCTACATATAAATAACTTTTTCAATTCAATAAAAATATCTATAAATTTTAAAAAAATAGAATTACATATTTATTTAAAAACCACAGACCAAATACTACTAAATTATACAAAAATAGATTTTTTTCTCTATAGTACATATGGTCATTTACTATTACTAACAATTTTTCAATTAGACAATTCTTAATACAAACTCTACTGATATCTTTATATCCAATCAACCAATTCATTTAAACATTACTACAACACCTCCTTCTACCTCGTCAATAATTACATCTAAACATACTTTTATTTCAATTAAAATTAGTTCAATAAACATAAATGGTCTCTCTCAACTCAATAAAAAATTTTCTTTAATAGAACTCATACAAGAAAATAACTTCGATATTTTTGAACTTTCTGAAACACACTTATTCTATAAATAAGAAAAAATCTTTAATAACCAAATTCAAAATTATATCAGTTTTTGAAGCTTATATACAAATCTTCACCAAGCTGGTGTTGGTATCTTTGTATACAAAAAATTTTCTAAATATAATGCCAAATCCTATAATTACAATGGTCTTATAATTTGACTTAATTTCTATTTCAAAAACACTTCTATCAGATATTTTTAAATATATTTCCCAACTTATAAGAAAAACTAACTTTGTAAAGAAATTCAAGATCATTTAATTTCTCTTACTTAAAATAACAAATATAAGCTAATTATTATAGGAAACTTAAACAGTGTTCCAAATTCAAGAATTAGCAGATCTCCTCTAAAATAATTATCAATTCCAGAAAGCCAAATAATTCAATATCTAATTAGCTTTTAATTTAAGGACTTTTACTGTATCTTCTATCCCAATATATCAAATTTTACTTTTAGTCATAACAACATCCAAAGCTGAATTGATCAAATATAAACCAACTTATCCATTACTAATATTGACTATACAGAAATTCTTTTAATTGACACAATTGAATTTGATCATCAAATCATAACTCTTGAAATTTCTATTATAATTAATAAACCCAAATCTTACAAACAATATAAGCATAAAGTGTTTCTCTGAAAAAACTGTACTAAAGCAAATTTTAAAAACTATAATAAACAAACTATCAAAAATCTTCAACACTTATCTTCAATAATCTTATCAATTTCAAACCAAAACCAACTTAATACCATATAAAACAAAATTTATAAAGCATTAATTAAGGCCTCTACTAAACATATTCTTTTCAAAAAAATTAAAACTATTAAAGAAATTCATGATTCTCTATCATCAAAACATTCACTACTTTTTTCCTATTACAAAAAGATTCAATTTCTTAAAAATCATATAAACTTAACTAACTTTAATATATTACTTACCAACTACCAAATCAAATATTCAGATTGCATATTCCAATCAACATCAGCTCCATTAACTCAAATTAAAGTGAAATTTCAAACTATCAAAACTGCACTCAATCACCAATATCAACAGTTAATATATAATAAAATTAAAGAAAAAATAGAAGAATGAAACAAATTTTTCAAAGAAACACCTAAACTTTTTTACAAAAAAATACTTGAAAAATATAATAACATTCATATAGATAGACTACTTCTCAACAATAACCTTCTTACAGAACATGATGAAATACTAAATACAATTAAACATCATTTTATAGAATACTTTAAAACCAAACCTTTCAAAACTATTCCATTAACATCTGAATTCTACTTTCTTTATGAACCACATCCTGAACTTGAAATTTATTACCAAAATCTTATTCAAGAAATTACTGAACAAGAATGACAAAACATTATCTTTAACTTACCTAATCAAAAAGCAGTAAGCCCTTTAGAAATCTGCTATGAACATATAAAATATGCTAGTTCAAAAACACAAAATATTTTTTGACTCTTTTTAAATAAATGCTTCCATCTACAAAAAATTCTCTCAGATTGGAAATCTTCAAAGCATTTACGGAATCTGTGCTTAGTTATGCATAATGTAAATCATGTGTAACATTTTGTACTACCATTACAATAAATCTCCGATCAGTTAATAAATTCATTATACAAATATCTAATATTTTTACATTAAAGAGATTGTAGAGATAAATTTTTTTAGTTGGTAAGCAACTTGGACAGCTCTAAATAAAATTATAATAATAATTTAACTGTTCTAAAATTGTTAGCGATTTTAATTAGTTAACTATTTATATATAATAAATTTAATTGTATATAATAAAGGCTTTAAAATCGCGATTCTAATCAGTTAAATATTTATATTTTTTACTAAATTAGAGATCAAAAAAGACAATACAATGATCAACTGGTTAGAATCACAATTGTAAAGACCATTATCGTTATATTTAAAAAATTTAAGTAATGTATAATTTTATTTTTTTTTACTTATGGGTACACTATTCTTTTCAAAACTATTATAAAATAATTATTCCAGGGTCACGTACAGCTTTAATTTAAACTGATACTTAAAAGTCATGCATATCGATATTAAGTAATCTTTCTATGTGCTAAAGGTGTAGATGCATATTTTGTGCTAATTAGTGCCAATAACACATGATAATACCAGACAAACCAGATCTCTTATTAATGTAGCAAATTATGTATAAAAAATGCTAGATTATTTATGTAACACACACATAGAAATCTTACATTTTGTGTATACATGGTATGCAGTTACATTAGAACCAAGCCTTTTTTTTTTTTTATTATAATGAGGGTGGCATTGTTTAGTCAGGCTTTTAATAAAATGAAATAATAATCAATTAAACTTAATTAGCTTTATCGCTATGTTTCATTATATTTTGTGCTAAATTATGTGGCTTTCGGGTTACTTTTCTTTTTTTCTCGGCAGCATTTCGTGCAAATCTTCATTCTCTTTACCTAATAGTTGTCTTCCCAAAGCCTGTCTTGTAGTTTCTTTTCTTCTTTGTACCGATGTTACTTGAACAGGTATCTTTTTGCCACTTCGAATCGTTGCAGAACTACTTGCATGCTGATAAACAAATGAAACCAGCTTATTTTCTGAGAGATTTTTTGCATTATGATATCCCTTTTGAAACTTTTCGAAAGCTAAAAGTAATTGCGTATTTTGCTTGACATCCCTTTCCATCTCATGAAAGAAACTAGCCAGAGATTCAATACGGTCTGATTCTTCATCGCCATTAGCATTTGACTCTTTATTGGCATTAGCACTTAACTCTTCATTGCTGTTATCATTTTTTGTAAAACTATAAACAAAAGAATTACTAAATTAGCAAAAATTAAATATTTTATAATTATCTAATATAAAATACACACGTAATTCTTTTACTTATAGCAACTTCAGAATTTGATATAAATTCTGATGTTATTGCAGATTATTGAATTTCTGGTTGATCAGTAATATTGTCTTCAGATACTGAATGAATTTGGCGATGCAAAGAAGCATAAAACGATCTTTCTCGAACTACTAAGCCTAATACAGTATCAAAATATAAATTAAATAGAATGCTTATATTAATACTTAAATAAATATATATTATATAATGATACTTACCAGTCGCAATATAAAAATAATTCATTCGATCATTAATCGTAAATGTATCAACAAAATTAGATGTTTCTTCCTGAAATTTTATAGCAATGGCAGCTTGATGTTTGCACAGGGCTCCAGAAATACCGACAAAGCATAAACAAATTCCAATAGTTGGATCAACTATATATGTTGTTCCAATCTTTGTAGCACTAGGTACATCAAATGTAATACCATCTTTTCTGCACTGAATACCTTCAAAATTAAGTTTCTCTTGTTTATAGCTTAAAAACCTTTTAGTAATATACATTCTTCCAGGACGCTGGTTTGAGATAACTAAAAGATGACGTTCGTAAAAGCGTTCTAAGTTATTAGTGATAAAATAAAAGATCTGTATGATATTATAGGCTTGCGTTCTTCTAAAAACTATATCTTTCAATAATCCAAAGCTCTTTTCTATATAATTGTTAGTATTATTTCCACATGTTGGTAAACCAATGTGAAAAAAAAGAGCCCAATCTTGTCGACGATTCCAAGAGCGAGTAATGTAAGTGGCAAGATTTGGGTATTTTATAAAATATTGGTGCTGTAAATTTTCAAATGAAGATACTAATTCAGCTTCTGTCGATGCATATACCATAGATTTCATATGCTCCATTATTAATAACCGATCATCCTTATGGATATGGTTATTAGCATTCCACAACCACCGCCAAAATGCTTGAAGTATATGGAAAATAAAAGAAGAGTTTTTGTATTACTCCAGCAATGCCTAAGTGCATTTTGTTCTGCTTTAGAATCATCTGTAATTATTATACATGGTCCTATTTCTGGCCCTTTATTATAAAATGCTCTGATAGGTAAAATCATTTTTAAAAGATTGAATGCAAACTTTAGTGTGTTTTCTGACTCATCCGATGTTAGAATAACTCCTAAAGGTAATGCTCCTACAGAACAACTTGTATATAACAGGATCATAGAGGTATTTAATGAATCGAAAGATGACGATGCATCTACATAGCATATTTCCCCTGCTTGACGGATTTTTTCATGGATTCTTTGCATTAAGTTACTAATGATACATAAAACAAATGAATGCCCTTTTTCTTTGTCAAATGGTCGAAAGACTGCTTTTCCATATCCTGATTTATTATAATCTTCAACTTCACTCTCAAGGCGTTCAAACATATTAATTCCATTTCGTGCTCCAAGTTGAGAGATACGAAACTTTTTATAAAGATATGTAATGTGATCAATATCAGGATTTACTGCACAATTAGCCAAAATAGTTGCTAAATTTTCTTCATTATCAGCTGATAAATGCAGTTTTTCCTCATATTCATAATGAGCACTTGATGGCATATGTCCACACTGAAATAATCGTAAGTACTCTTCTTCTGTTTGTCTATTAACGGAGCGAAAGCTCAACAATATAGCTAAATTAGGCACATGATTGTATGTAAAATGAATAGATACTTCAAGAGGGTGAGAACTTGCTAAATTACATTTTTCTAACAAAGTCCAATTGTTGCCAAGCAATTAGTATCCCTTAAGCATCTGCTATGTAACTTTTTAGTTTCAATATCTTTTCCTTGTTTCTTTTTAACCATATGACTGTATATACAGTGTCTTGTCTCACGAAAAATAACCCATTGACCTTTAAGAACATAACCTCTTGTTTGACGTATTGTAGTCTTTGTTTTTTTTGAAAATCCTTAAGCCAAATATGTGCATCTTTAGCGGAATTAATGTTTACAAAAAATGAAGTAACTATTTGATCTATATTAATGTTTTCTTCAGTAATCAATGGATCATTTTCACACAACTCATTAATTATATATGAATAATTGATAGGTAAAATTCCTGCTATTTTTCCCGTAAGTGATGATCCTAAAATAGGCTATAATTTTAGATAAAAATTAGTAATAATGATAATACAAAAATTTTTAAATAGATTTTTTTACAGCAAAGTAATGCTTAGAGTATATAAAATATATACTTTAAGCATGGTTTTGCTATAAGAAGACACATATGTATTTTATATTAACCTCTTTCACATTGATATCAAGATTAAAATGAAAATTGTCATTTCCTAGAGATGAAGCAAGGTTTGCCATTTCTTTATCGTACGTTTAGTAGCTAAAAAATCGATCAAGATTAATGATATTATATATTATTTAAACATTAACAACAAGTCTAGCCTACTCAACCAATATTATATCGATTTCCACGTCAATCTCTACAATGTGCCAATTTTATTTAACCTGTAAGAATAATGATTCCCTCTTTTGAGATTTATTTGTTTGTTAACATTACATAATTTTATATCAGGTTTAATTAACGTTTGAAACATTGCATCATCGATGGTTACACACAAAAAGCTTAATATTACACAATGTTAATCAATTTTATAAGTTAATGACTTTATATAATTGAACTAAATACTTTATATAACATTTGAATGGTTAGTCTGAGCATTTTTATGAGAAAACCGAATTGAACTTATTAAATTACGGGACTAATTCCTGCTCTTATAGGAGTATCGCTATCAGACTTTAATTATTATATAGGGAAATTATTTGATTTGATAATTAATAAAAAGTTTAATCCCATTATTTATGTAATTATATAATTATTGGTTTTAAAATATAGATAAAACTAAACGGTGCTGATTGCTAATTTTTTTATTTACATATAAATATCTTATGAATCACCTATAAAACTATTATAAGTACAGAAAATTGAATACATATGAGCTGTTCAATACTTTACTATTCTTTATATGTAAAAAATTAATATGATATGTTAGTTGTATAATGAATCTAGTAGAACAAATTAACTGATCGGAGATTTATTGTAACGGTAGTACAAAATGTTACACATGATTTACATTATGCATAACTAAGCACAGATTCCATAAATGCATCTTCAAATATATTTCTAATTTCTAAAAAATTCAACTAGGACTATATACTAAATCAAGTTTGTCTAATTTCTATAATAGAACCTTTTAAAAAAACTTTTACTAAAATATTTAATAATCAATTAGATAGCATTATCTCTTATAACAACTTTCTATCAAATCTAAATTTTGCAGCTTCAAAAAACTTCTCTACACACCTTCCTATACAAATTCTCTACAATACAATTGAATATTATATAACTACTAATAAAGAAGCCTAGATCCTCTTCCAAGATATGTTCAAGGCTTTTGATAAAATTAATATATTAAGACTTCAAGATATCTATAAAAGAATAGAAATTCTTTTAACAGGAATTAACCTAATTACAGAACTACATTCTTATTGATTTGCTAGAGTAATTACTACTTATAGCCTTACTTCACAAATATCAATTAACTCTAAAATTAAATAAGACAAAATATATTCACCTTTCTTATGAAAAATTTATTATAACTTTATACTCTATTTTATTCAAAAAAAATACTAAAATTATTTATTAAAAATTTTATGTCAATTTCCTATTAATATTATAACGAATACAACATCTTCTTTAATAACAATCCCACTATTAGCTTTTATAAATGATACCACTTGGCATTGTGAAAACACAAATATAATGCAAAATATTATTAATAATACCTTTAAATTATACAAATTCAATAATATAAAAATTAATACTAACAAATCAGACCTACTTTACATTAAACCCAAATTTCTATTAAATACAACTCCTACTCTTTCAATAAACCAACAAAACATTCTATTCAGAAAACCACAAGATATAATTTGAAATCTTGGAATTTTTTATAATAACAAAAAATTTTCTAAACCAACACTTGATCAAATTCAAAACAAAATTGAAAGCTTTCAAACTCTTATTCGATACAAAAAAAATAACACTTTCACAAATTTTATTACTTTTCAATTTAATTTTACAATTTCATTAGAATATTTACTTTAAATTATTTTAGTTTATACAAATACATAATTTAAATTCTTCTGCCTTTTTAATATTCATACTAAAAAAATACTCTCTTTAGCAAAAAACACTAACAATACAATTTTTACTAACTCACCTATCTTTAATTTACCAACCTTCAACAATATTATTCAAAAAGTTAGTGCAGCTAATACTAAATGAATATTTAATACATTACCAATTCTTAAAAACATTGGCATCTAATGAATTAAAAGATGGCTAAACAAAATATGGTTATCTCAACTTTCTTCAAATACTCTAACTAAACATTATTGAAAAATGCAAAATTACATTTTACTTTTTCATCTTTCTCAACTAGCTTTAAATGACATCTTACCCTCAATTATTTTATAAATCTTACCTTTACTCTCATCAATACCAAAAAATACTCATACTATCTATAACATTCTTTTTACCAACCTACTCACATCTACTATTAATAGTCTTAGAAATAATAAAATCATCTTTCTTGAACAAATTATAACTATAAACAACAAAAATATTCTTATATAGAACAATATCTACTTATGTATAAACAAACCTAATAAAGGTTGTTAACCAAAATGGTTTATCCAAATTTTATACCTAAACTAATCCAATATCATAGCCCAAATTTGGCCTCATATAAACTTTTCTATTACTAATACTTTTCTCAATACAATTAAACTAATATCACTACTCCTATTTTTAAACTCTCACTACTTTTATTGAATACACTATACAAATAACTAAACACCATATATCTCTCAACAAATCTTTCTACAACAACCATTATTCTTTGAAATTTCTACATCCACTTTAATATTCTTATAACTACTACTAACTACTAACTATCTAACAACAAACTTTCATTTATTCTTTTTACCTTACAACACAATCATCAAATCAAAAGATTCAATAACTATTTAAATTAACTTTAAAGAAATTTTAGCTCTAATTAATATACACAATACTACTATTACTCAATCGATTCTATTAATAAAACTACAAATACCACTTTTATTACATAAAGTCCAACTCATTTAACAATTTATCAACACATTATTATACCAAAAACAACTAACTGATCTAAATCACCTTATTATTCAACTTAACACAGATAAACTACATTTTTATACTAATGGATCAATTAAAAATCTACAAACTCCAGAAACCAAATGTGGTATAAGATGGATTTGTAAATATAATACATTTATAAAATTTAATGCAGCTATACAATCATATTCGAACTCAATCTGCATCGAACTTGAAGCAATTCTTTCTTTTTTATTTGCAGTCTTATCTAATATTCTCTTAAATATTTATATTAATAATACAGATGCAATCAGAAACCTTGACTCTATTACTAACTCCAAACTTATAAAACCAAAAATTGGGATACTATTCACTATATTAACTACCTCAAACATCTTAAAAACATTACTACACTTTTTACAAAGTTAAATCACACTTTACAGACTCTTTTTACAACAAGCAGATTCATTTATCAAACAAAGAACTACAAAACTTATTCTCAAAATTAACAACTCAAAATTTAATATCCCAAACTATTTTATATGAAATAACTACCTAATCTCTTTTAAAGTTTATATCTTCATCAAAAACTCTATAACTATTCATAAAATTGCCAAATAATCAAACTTAAATTTCTTTCAAAACATCACAAATATCAAATAGTTATTAAAATTTAAAAACATCTCCTTACTTGAAAATAACTTACAAAAATACTCTTTTCATATCAAAATTCTTATTAATAACCTATCAACTATGCAAAATCTTAATATCTGTTACCTATACCTCTATACTACTTCAAATTGCTCTTGCTGTACAAATACTGAAGATACTCTTTATTTATTTTTTTGTTCTAGTAATACTATGAACATTCTACAATCACTTAAAAATACAATACAAGATACTCTAATATTACTAAAAATTACTAACATAACTTCAACAACCTTACTAAATATTCTTTTAAATTTTATATTTAACATACCAAATTCTCAATTCAAACATATATTATATATTATTACTGAAACCTTTACTTTTACTACTTATGAAAATATCAAAATACTTATTAATAAACAAAAGATGACCTCTTACTCCAGCTCTCAAACAATCTATTAAACTGGTTTTACCAAGATCTCTAGTCTACTCACAATATATATTAACACCAATAGAAAATATCCTGTAATATTACATCAAAATTTAAATATACCAAAATTTACTTACCAATATTATTAAATTTTCTAAACAATACAACAATCTTTTCTTAAACTATAAATACTAACTCTTTAATCATCAAATAGCTTACACAAGGATATTCACTAACTACTTATATTCAATAATGTTCAGACAATCACTTAAAGGTCTTCTTCAACCTATCCTAGCTAGAATCTAATTTGAAATAGTTAGCTATAGCATTTATAAAAAATATAAGATGTAATGTTACATTAGATATCAACTTGTAGTATAAATATAGTTTAAAAATCTTTAATTTTAGAACTTATAATTCTATATATACAAAGTTTCTACTTGAACATTATATTAATAATAATAATAAAAAAAAAAAAAAAAAAAAAAAAAAAAGATAACTAACAATATAAAAGTTATGTAAAGATGTAAAAATTCGGACTATAATACTTATTGCTTTTTTGTAACCTCTTAAGATGATAAACAATTAATAATATAATAGATAAGAAAAAAAATTTGTAAATATGAAAAAAGAGATTTAGTAATACAAATAAAAAAGACCTAAAGATATAAAAAAAAAAGTGTGATAACAAAAACCTAGCTGTGTTAACATAAAAATTCCTGATGATATTTACTGCTTTATTGTAATCTTTAATAACAATGAACAATCAATGATATAAAAATAATAAAAAAAAGATCTAGCAATACTTGAAGATATAAGGAAAAACATAATGATGTAAAAAAAAAATCTGGCTATGACAATGTAAAATTCCTAATAGTGATATTTACTATTTAATACCTCTAGTGATGATAATGACTAATGATATAAAAATTGGTGTAGCAACTTAGTGAAGTGGTCAAGTTGTTGCACCCCAAGTAACAAGATTCAAGGTTCAATTCCCATTGATGAATACTAAATCTTGTATGTCTTAAATGGGATGTTGACTTAATTAGAAATATTGGCATGTCTTGAGTAGGATGTTAA